TAAACACTGAAGGAATCTCCTCCTTAAATTTAGCTACAGCACTGTCAGATAGACATCTGCTGTAGGAAGTTTTGCCTAATGGCTTATAATCTAATAGTATGAATTCAAAAGTTACTAAATAATGGTCAGATAGGAAAGGATTATGTGGGAAGACTATTAAATGTTCAATATCAATGCCATATGATAAAACAAGGTCAAGAGTGTGATTAAAACAATGAGTTGGTTTATTTACACTCTGACAGAAGCCAATTGAGTCTATTAATGATATAAATGCATTACTAAGGCTGTCATTGTCAACATCCACATGAATATTAAAATCACCTACAATAATTACTTTATCTGATTTAAGGACTAAGCTTGATAGAAACTCTGAAAATTCAGATATAAAATCAGAGTACGGTCCAGGAGCGCAGTACACTATAACAAATAGAACTGGCTGCAATGTTTTCCAGTTTGGGTGAGAAAGACTAAGAACAAGGCTTTCAAATGAATTATAATTTAGTTTAGGTTTAGGGTCCATTAAAACGCTCGAATCATATATAGCTGCTACTCCACCTCCTCGGCCTGTGCCTCGAGGAATGTGAGTATTAATATGACTGGGGGGTGGATTCATTTAGGCTAACATACTCCTCGCGGGACAACCAGGTCTCAGTAAGACAAAGTAAATCAATATCATAATCTGATATTAATTCATTCACTAGAACAGCTTTAGAGGACAGAGACCTGATATTTAACAGCCCACATTTCATTCTCTTATTTTGTGCTACTGAGGAGTTGGTTTTAATTTTTATTAGATTTTTATGTTGAACTCCTCTTGTTTTTATTTCTTTAAATAGTTTAGGTGGTCGGGGGACAGACACAGTCTCTATGGGGTTTTGGGTGGGTGACTGTTCTAAAGAAAGCGCAGAGGAGTGTGTAAGACAGCAGCTCTGCTTCCTGGTCCTAACTCTGGACTGTCAGGTTTTAGAGATAAACTTCGCCATATTTCTAGATAAGAGAGCCGCTCCATCCAAAGTGGGATGGATGCCGTCTCTCCTAATCAGACCAGGTTTTCCCCAAAAGGCTTCCAGTTATCAATGAAGCCCACATCGTTTGCTGGACACCACCTCGACAGCCAGCGGTGGAATGACGACATGCGGCTATACATGTCATCACTGGTCACATTGGGGAGGGGTCCAGAGAAAACTACGGTGTCCGACATTGTCTTAGCATAATTACACACCGACTCCACATTAATCTTAGTGACCTCCGATTGGCGTAAACGGGTGTCGTTACCGCCGACGTGGATAACAATCTTACTGTATTTACGTTTATCTTTAGCCAGCAGTTTTAAATTTGATTCAATGTCGCCCGCTCTGGCCCCAGGGATACATTTAACTATGGCCGCTGGCTTCGCTAACTTCACGTTTCTGACTATGGAGCTGCCAATAACCAGAGTTGGTTCCTCAGCGGGTGTATCGCTGAGAGGGGAAAATGTATTAGAAACGTGAAGGGGTTGGTGGTGACCTGTGGGCTTCGCCGTTCTAGTCTTCCTTCGCTCAGTCACCCAGCCTCCCTGTCTTCCCGGCTGCTCGGGAACTACCGGGGGATCTACAGAGCTAACAGAAGCTACCTTCGGTCGGACCGCACCGGCTACTGGGGGCTGGCTAACTATAGCGGCTAAAGATATCTCAGTGGTGCGGTGCCGTTCCTCTAACTCACTAAGCCTCGCCTCCAGCGCAGTAAATAAACTACATTTAATACAGGTACCATTATCTTTAAAGGAGGCAGAGGAATAACTGAACATCTGACACACTGAGCAGGACAGAGGAGAGGGAGAGGGAGAAGCCATAGCTAACTGCTAATGCTAATGAAACTAGAGTGTATGAAAAACTTTGAAAGTAGTGAAAAGTCCCTAAAAGAGGGAGAAACTCCAAGTGTTTAAGTAGAACTAGTCTACGTTTAAATGTTAAGCGGGTAAATAACCGCTGTAACGAGTAAAACTAATTTATATTTAGCGTTCACTGACAGAGCTACAGCACCAAACAGTGTACACAGAACAGGAAGTGAACCGGAAGTGAGTCAGTACGCTTACCGTAGCACGTCCAATCCTGGCAAGACAAGACCTTTTATAAGTAAAACCATTATTATAAAGTCTTACCTTTATTTTAGTACACATCCTTTAGAAAATAAATTCTTCTTATAAAGCTGCTCACAAGGGAATTAATTTCTTAAGTTCATTATGACAAATCTACTGTTACAAGTTCTCTGTTTGCAATGAGGGATCAAATATGAGCATCAAAACCATGTGACATGAATTCATGATGTGTCTTAAATGAAATCAAAATTGGAAGAAATATGGTGCAATGATACTTGTTGACAGCCTGGGCGACCTTCTTCAGGTCAGCAAATGAGAGAAACAGCCTGATCTTAATAATAAGTGTGTTTCTCTCTTCACTGTAACAGTGAACTGGTGTTGAAATCATTAGTGGTCTGAGGGCTCCTCCTCTGGTGGCTTCATGTTACAAGTGTTCAGGCACTGAGGGGTTTTTGTTCAGGTCTACTGATGGTTTGTGTTATTGTGTCTCTCTGGCACAGTAATACACAGCAGAGTCTTCAGGCTGCACATTCTGTCCGTTTAGAGTCACTGTGTTACTGGAAGAGTCTAAGTCGATACTGAACTTGTTCTTCAGTGAATCTTTGTAATATGAATCTCCAGTATATTTCATTCCAATCCACTCCAGTCCTTTCCCTGCAGGCTGTCTGATCCAAGCTGTGTAGTAGCTGCCCAGAGAATAAGAGACCTGACAGGTGATGATCAGACGTTGACCTGGCTGCACAGTCACAGAGGCTGGCTGTGTCAACTGTTCACACTTTACACCTGTGGAGGAAAACATGTTGAATATTAAATCAGTGTGATAACAGTGAACAGTCAGTGTGCTGTGATCATACTGTCAGTGTCTCTGCCTCAGTGAGACTCACAGGATCCAGCAGCCAGCAGCAGCAGCAGAGCTACAGAGAACATGGTTGGTATTGAAGGTGATCTGATGGGAGCTTCTCTTCTTCTGCTGCAACTGACAGCATGATATCAAGTCTTTATAGCAGACTGTGAGGAAGTTCACTTTGCATAGAGAAGGACACTGACAGGCTATAAAAGGAGGATCAACTGTCCTGTCCAAGTATTCATAGCTACTATACACATATACTGAAGCACACACATACATAAAAAGCCTACTTACGCACACATATTAATACATTCTGATTCTGATAATCTTTTGTATTATATTTAAATGAAATGAAAATGTAAAGACATGAGACGTGAAGAGCGTATATGAACTTTAATGTCACCACTTAGATGATTGGTTCAACAAACTTGATGAACTTGCTGTAAAAATAACTTTTAATACTCATGAAGATAGTGGAGGTTAATATATAAAAAATTTAATATTGAATGATGCAAAGCTTTTTTAAAGGAAGTTGTAATAATAATATTATAATGTTTTAATAAATAGGGTTGTCTACTTTTAAATGCAGGTGAACACACTGAAAAATATGTTTTTAATTTAATAAATATATTTCAGTCATAATCAGTCATTCAGTGGTAAACTGTTTTCAAAGGGCTGACATGTTTCAATGCTTCTCACACAGGGATCAGTGTTGTTCAGTTTTTGTGCAGCGTTGCAGTCTGGTGTGTCACTGTGGCTTGAACTGACTGTATTTGGTACTACCACTACCACTATCAATCCAGGCAATCCACTCCAGTCCTTTTCCAGGAGCCTGTCTGACCCAGGCCATATAGTAGTCACTGAATGTGAATCCAGAGGCTGTACAGGTCAATCTGTGAGATTCTCCAGGCCTTTTAACCACTGGTTCAGATTCTGTCAGAGTCTGACCATCAACACCTGTCAAGAGGATAAAAAAACATCAAGTAACAGACACTGATGATAAAAATAAAAGTAATGTAAAATTAAGGTCAGATAAACTCTTCACCTGCCCAGCAGATAGTTAACAGCAGCAGTCCTGTCCTATAGTCCATCATGTCAAACTGTGTGTCCACTGTTCTCTGTCATCCTCTCTACAGTCAGATAAGTAGAGGTGGAAGACATCTGAGTTTTGCATTGACTCCTCCTCACAGGGAGGAGAGAATGAGATTGTTCTTGGCTTTCAGTATTTTGGTGAAACTGGAATCAATTTTTAGAAGTCAGTTTAATTGAATTTGCATGAAATGTTACTGTCATTATATATGTCATATTGTTGACCTTATTTTAGCTTTCGCTCTTGCACAAATATCCAGTTGCCCCATACAGAGATAAAAGAATCAAAAATCAAAGATCAACCCTGGTTTAACTTCATAACTCATATGTTTAGGCATTGACTCCTCCTCACAGTGTGGAGAGAACCAGACAGGTCATTGCTTGTTGTTTAGTCAGAGCTGTGACTTGAGCCAAATTAATTTTATTCATGCATCTGAATTTAAAATTGGTGTAAAAGGCTGTACTCTATTTGAAAATAGAATTTTGGTCAAATAATATTTTACTTAAGAATTATTCACAGGAAAAAGAAAAAAGAAAACACAACTGAAAAATCAAACTCTTACATGTTGTTTGCCTTTTCTTAAATTAACCCTTTGTTGGACAAAAGTATAAGTATATATCACATGTTACAAAAGTGAAACAAGGATCATAATAACATCAGGATTTAAATGTTTAAGTAGAAACAAAATCATCCCTAAATTTGGGATAATTAATGAATAATAAAATTGTGCAGTTTTACAATTTAACATTAAAAAGAACTTGGCTGAAGACTCAGATTCAGGTAATAATGCATTTACTTAACAGCTAACAGTTACCTGTTAAATATAATCATTAAACTGAAAGAAGATTTTTTTATCTTCACTGTAACAGTGAACTGGTGTTGAAATCATTAGTGGTCTGAGGGCTCCTCCTCTGGTGGCTTCATGTTTTAAGTGTTCAGGCACTGAGGGGTTTTTGTTCAGGTCTACTGATGGTTTGTGTCAGGGCCGGCCCAAGCCTCCATGGGGCCCTAAGCAAAATTTGATTTTGGGGCCCTCTATTACTGCCACGTGTCTTTTTGGGAATGTGAATGTGTCCTTTATAGGCAGTGGCCCTCTTAATACCTGTTCAGTCCTTTCTGAGTCTGACAGGAAAGAGGGACACTCAGCTGGGTCAACTGGCGGAGCTGCTGAACCCTGCTCCAAACTGGATGCTGAAGAAGACACATCAATCTTGATGACCAAAGATGAAGGACCTATAGGGAAATTAAAATAATATTTTTGGACAAAATTATTCATCTCAGAATATTCTGCAGTACACTGAGCAATTATAAAAGCTGTTTTGTTGTTAACTTACCAGGTACAGCTGAGGTTGCAGAGAGGACAGTGGGCACAGTGGATGGAGCAGAGGATAGAGATGGACCTGAGATGAAAAACATGTCCCTTGTCATATGATTAGATCTTATATTAGTATATCTTAATGAGATAATTTGACTAGAAATGAAATATATATGGTGACAGTGTTTGATCACCTGATTCATCAGCCTTGGCTGCTCCTGAGGAGGTGGATTGCCCCTGGGCTGAGTCAGTGCCTCCTCCTAAATACTTTAACAGTGCTCCTGGGGAAGTGTCATATAACGTATGAGCATAATAGGGAGTTGATATAAAAGGAATATGTTTATCTACTCACATAAATTACTGTGCTCTGCAGCAAACAATTGCAAACAACATACCTCAAACTATAAGTTAACTAAATTAATTCATTAATGTAAAACCATATTGCTAGCAAACGTCACCGCGTTTGTAATTAACGTTAGTTATTAAACATTTGCTATCAAACATTGTTATCAAAAACTTTGTTTTGATGCCAAAAAGCGACCCAGAATAATATATATACACTGAGAATCAACTTATTCAAAGTGTTACACAAACACAACAACGTTAGCTTGAATAGAAAGCTATCTAACCGACCCATAAGAGAGAAGTAGTAAGACGTTTTGAACTAATGTTAGCTAGAAATTTTGCTAATAGACATACAGGAAAACTTCTCAAGAGGAAATAAACTAGTTAGGAACTTAAACTTGTGTGATGATGTGCAAAAAAAGCAAATGGAGCGAAGCCTGAGAGCTAGTTCAGGCAGTCAACTTGAGCTGTCTCACTCTCCATAATTACTAACAAAGCGCACCCTTCCAATCTGGCGGTCTATTTAAGCTGCAAAATGTCCCAGCTCTCCCTCTGCTTTAAGGTAGGTAGGTAGGGAGTGAAGAAGTCAGAGCCTTGACGCCAAAATCTAACGGGAGCGTACCTATGTTCCCCGGGTTCTATGTTCCCCGCTTTGTATGGGACCGGGGAACCCTAACCCTAACCCTAACCTTAGCGGGGGAACATAGGGATGACCCCAATCTTACGATGCTATACTGCTGTAATGACCATTTCAAAGATGAGTCGTCTGACAAGGGTTAGGGACAAGAGTAAACAGAGCGAAAAAGTTTTTAAAAATGTATTCTCTCAATTCAAGGTAATAAAGTAATTTTAGTGAAATAATTGTGGTAAAGATTAGGACTGTAGGATTTTGTACAGCTGCTCAACCAACTCCAGTCACTGTGGCTCTCGAGCACAATAATAAACAGCAGAATCTTCAGTCTTCAGACTGTTCATCTGCAGATACAGCTGCTGTCTGCTGTTGTCTCTGGAGATGGTAAACCGGCCTTGAACTGACTGAGAGTAGTATTTGCCACTACTGTCAGTATAGATCAAAGCGATCCACTCCAGTCCTTTTCCAGGAGCCTGTCTGACCCAGGCCAAATGATAGCTGCCTAATGTGAATCCAGAGGCTGTACAGGTCAATCTGTGAGATTCTCCAGGCCTTTTAACCACTGGTTCAGATTCTGTCAGAGTCTGACCATCAACACCTGTTTAATAAAGAAAGATATTCATGTCATATGTTACATTGGCAACATAAATGAAATATGAAATAAAGATCAGATATGATCTTCACCTGCCCAGCAGATAGTTAACAGCAGCAGTCCTGTCCTATAGTCCATCATGTAAAACTGTGTGTCCACTGTTCTCTGTCATCCTCTCTGCAGTCAGATAAGTAGAGGTGGAAGACATCTGAGTTTTGCATTGACTCCTCCTCACAGGGAGGAGAGAACGAGATTGGACTTGGCTTTCAGTATTTTGGTGAAACTGGAATCAATTTTTAGAAGTCAGTTTAATTGAATTTGCATGAAATGTTACTGTCATTATGTCATACTGTTGACCTTATTTTAGCTTTTGCTCTTGCGCAAATATTCAATTGCCCCATAGAGAGATAAAAGAAACAAAAATCAAAGCTCAACCCGGGTTTAACTCCATAACTCATATGTTTAGGCATTGACTCCTCCTCACAGTGTGGAGAGAACCAGATTGGTCATTGCTTGTTGTTTAGTCAGAGCTGTGACTTGAGCCAAATTAATTTTATTCATGCATATGAATTTGAAATTAGAATGTTGGCCAAATAATATTCTGCTTAAGAATTATTCACAGGAAAAAGAAAACACAAAACACAACTGAACAACTCTTACATGTTGTTTGCCTTTTCTTAAATGAAGCCTATGTTGGACAAAAGTATCTGTCAAGTAAGTACATATCACATGTTACAAAAGTGGAAAAAGTATCATAATAACATCAGGATTAGACGGTTTAATAAGATCAAAATCTCATTCAAATTCTGGATAATTAATGAATTAAAAAAATTCTGTAACAGTGAACTGGTGTTGAAATCATTAGTGGTCTGAGGGCTCCTCCTCTGGTGGCTTCATGTTACAAGTGTTCAGGCACTGAGGGGTTTTTGTTCAGGTCTACTGATGGTTTGTGTTATTGTGTCTCTCTGGCACAGTAATACACAGCAGAGTCTTCAGGCTGCACATTCTGTCCGTTTAGAGTCACTGTGTTACTGGAAGAGTCTAAGTCAATACTGAACTTGTTCTTCAGTGAATCTTTGTAATATGAAGCTGAAGTATGTTTCATTCCAATCCACCCCAGTCCTTTCCCTGCAGGCTGTCTGATCCAGGCTGTGTAGTAGTCGCTAACAGAATAAGAGACCTGACAGGTGATGGTCAGACGTTGACCTGGCTGCACAGTCACAGAGGCTGGCTGTGTCAACTGTTCACACTTTACACCTTTTGTAACTGGAGCTGGACTGGATATATGAAACTGGGGAATTAATGTTTAAGAGTCAACCCTCCAAGTCAGCTGTTTTGTTTGGCTAGCATGTTATAATATATATAAAATCAGTATTTTGTTGTTTTCAGTAAAAACACAACCATATTAATCTTAACAAGTTAAAGTATAAATTATCTTGTTATGAAGGCTCTCTGTCTCACACTTTGAGCATAATGGGCAGCACATGAGAACATTTACAATGAAACAAATAACAGTTTTATTGTGATCACCAGCATCTGCTATATTTCTGAATTATATTGCATTTTTAAGAATATGTTTTGGATTGTGGACATTTTACCATTGTAACTATATTCTGTCAAGCTTTCTGTCTGATGAAATGTTTTCAGCTTGTTCCTCTTTTCAAACTAAATTCATTTAATTTATGGTTTCTACTTCTGAATATGACATTGGCAATTTAATAGGATTTAACACTTGAAGAAACTCCGTCTATTACTGTTTGTTTGTTTACAGCATAGAAATATAATGTGGATGTATGAAAGTTCTTTTGTAGGTGGTGAAAGACAGATATCATTGAGATCACACTGCTGTTTGTTGTCTGGAGGTTTTTGTGCAGCTGCTCCACTGTCTTCAGTCACTGCGTCTCTTCAAGCACAGAAGTAAACAGCAGAATCTTCTGCTGTCAGGCTGTTGACCTCGAGGTACTGAGTGCTGCTGGACACATCTTCAGTCATGATGAAACGACTTTGAAAGGAGCTGCCATAGATAGCAGAGTTTGAACCTGTGTTCATCTCTCCTATCCACTCCAGAGCTTTCCCTGGCCTCTGTCTTATCCAGTGAATATTGTAGCTTGTCATGCTATAACCAGATATGATACATGACATCTTCACTTTCTCTCCAGGTCTTTTCACCTCAGAGGGAGTCTGGTCCAGTTTGATCTCACTCCAAACTCCTGCAAGAAAAGAAATGGTGATTATCATCGAAGTCGTTTTGCAGGTTAGATATTTACAAAAGAGTTTGTTTAGTGTGTTTAAGCAGATTTACTTTCTTACCATGAATAGTGACGATAAAGAATAAACCCCAGTAAATCATATTTTCCACGCTTATAGTGATATGATTTTTTTCTAAGATTTATAAAATGTCCCAGTTGTTCTGTCATAAATGATTTGAGAGCTGTTAATGGTGTGAATATAAGGAAGGAAGCATTTGCATAGACCTCCCTCTGCAGGTCTAAAAAGAGAACATGGAAAGTAGATGTACATGTAGTGTTACATTTGTATGTTTTGCCTCTGCTCTGTCCTGTGTCCTGTTCCAGGTACCGCCCTACCCTCCGACTGGTCAGGCACACCTGCAGTAGTTTAGCAATTAGACCGATTGCCTTAAAGCTGCTGCGACGGAAGAAGACGGGGCCAGTGGGCCAAACCACCAGATAGGATTGTGTTGTGAATCAGAGCTGTGTATTAGTGTAGTGTATTACATTTGCATTGTAAAATACAGTAGTTGGCTGCTGCTGGGACAGACATATTTTTCATTAATTATAGTCTTAGAATGTGATTACCATTTTATATATCTTTTTGGCCAAATTGTATATTATTGACATACTAACGGCATTTGTTCATGAAAGGACACATACAGTTGATGCTGTTGCATAATCCTGTATCATACAATAAATAATGCAAGACCTCATACAGTTGTGCTCATAAGTTTACATACCCTGGCAGAATTTATGATTTCTTGGCCATTTTTCCGAGAATATGAATGATAACACAAAAACTTTTCTTTCACTCATGGTTAGTGGTTGGGTGAAGCTATTTATTATCAAACAACTGTGTTTACTCTGTTTAAATCATAATGACAACAGAAACTACCCAAATGACCCTGATCCAAAGTTTACATACCCCAGTTCTTAATATTGTTTATTGCCCCCTTTAACATCAATGACAGCTCGAAGTCTTTTGTGGATGAGGTGCTTTATTTTCTCAGATGGTAAAGCTGCCCATTCTTCTTGGCAAAAAGCCTCCAGTTACTGTAAATTCTTGGGCTGTCTTGCATGAACTGTTTGAGATCTTCCCAGAGTGGCTCAATAATATTGAGGTCAGGAGACTGAGATGGCCACTCCAGAACCTTAAAAAACAGACATAAAACAGTGATATAAAGTCATTAGGAACACATTGCTTCAGAAAGTCATGGCTGTAATCAGCAGAATGATGAAATCAATTTAAAAACTCAGCAACTTCTCCCTCAGAGAGTAACTGGCCACAAATACTGATTTATACTTTAACAATGAGTGTGTGTAGTTGAGTCACATGGTTACTGGGTATTTGTACAGGTCTGTTGGTGGTTTGTATCACTGTGGGCCGACGTACACAGTAATACACAGCTGTGTCCTCAGGCTGCACATTCTGTCCTGTTAGAGTCACTGTTCAAGCAGAAGTGTTTCTGCTGTAACTGAACTTGTTCTTCAGAGCATTGTTTTGATAAAAGCTGCCAGAGCTACCACCCCACTGATGGGAAATCCAATCCATTGGTTTTCAATTCAGTCATCAATTCTTCTATTAGAATGTGTTACTGGTTGGTCACATATGTTTCTAGGTATTTGTGCAGGTCTGTTGGTGGTTTGTATCACTGTGGGCTGACGTACACAGTAATACACAGCTGTGTCCTCAGGCTGAACATTCTGTCCTGTTAGAGTCACTGAGCTATTAGAAGTGTGTGTGTTGTAAAGGAACTTGTTCTTCAGAGCATTGTTTTGGAAAAAGTATCCTCTTCCCCACCGGAGTAAAATCCATTGCATTGATTTTCCTTCACACTGTCTGATCCAACCTGTTGCATAGGTGGTATCAGTCAAAGAATATCCAGAGACCTGACAGGTGATGGTCAAAGACTGTCCAGGCTGCACAACCACTGAGTCTGACTGGATGAGATCAATACTGTTCACACCTGTGGAAACAGAAATCAACATTATCCCCATCATTCATCTGACTATTCAGTGTTTCTAATGTGTTTATTAGTGTGAATCCACTGAAAGCTCCTCACAGGATCCAGCTGCCAGCAGCAGTATCAGAGCTACAGAGAACATGTTCATGTTGAAGCTGAACTGATGTGAGCTCTTCTGTCCTCTCACTGGCACACACACACACACTTCACTTCCTTATGAGCAACACACAAGGAGGCTCTTTTACATCCTGATGACAGTAAATCAGCTGACTAATGTGTATTTAAATAATTCAACATTAGGATGAAATCTTCAGGCATTTGTCCTTCTCACACAGACAGAAGGTGGAACTTCTTCTCTTTTCTTCATCTCTGACAAACACACTATAGACTATTGATTCACTATTGATTCCAGTTTGAAGAATTAACATCTCTATGAAGTTGTGTAAATTATAATGATCTATTAGTTAATTAAGTAGTCAAAGCTTTGAATTGTGTTATGAACATTTATTTTGAAAGACAGAAAACAAGAAAGTATCTTTATTATTTAAAACAGAACTTAATGTTAAAGTTGGTACATTCTTAACAAATCATCTAAAACAAGTCAAACATTCACATTTACACTCAGATCAACAGAATATGTATTGTTCCCTGTCTCAACTACATATGTGAGAACACCAATAAACTGTTGTTGTTTATTCTGTGAATGTGAAAAACAGAAAGAAAAGTTTGGGCTTGTGTGTAGTATTTCTTTTCATCATAACTGGACAATGATTTCAGTAACCAGACTGTTGTGCTGTCTGGCTGTTTTGTGAGGAAGTGATTGTTACAGTCACAGATTTTAATGTGTTTAAATGGTTATTATTGTTTGTTGAATGATCGTCAGAGTATAAAAACAGTATGTTAGGATGAGGGTTAATATGACTGAAATATACATGTAGTATGTTTGTGATTGTTGTGCTGACCTTGATCAGTGAGGAACTGATCATTAAAACATTGTATTTATTCAAAGGTTATTGTTGTTAATAATTGTTGGTTAATAATATTTCAGTTTTCATGTATTTCTTCAAAATAACTGAAATTATTGTTTCTCTTAGTCCATCAGTCCAGTTTGGATGAGTACTGTAAGTTTTTGTACAGCGTTGCTCCTTCCTGTGTCACTGTGGGTCTCGAGCACAATAATAAACAGCAGAATCTTCAGTCTTCAGACTGTTCATCTGCAGATACAGCTGTTCTCTGCTGTTGTCTCTAGAGATGGTAAACCGGCCTTGAACTGACTGAGAGTAGTATTTGCTACTACCACCACCATCAGTGGCAACCCACTCCAGTCCTTTTCCAGGAGCCTGTCTGATCCAGGCCATCCAGTAGCTGCTGAATGACAATCCAGAGGTTGTACAGGTCAATCTGTGAGATTCTCCAGGCCTTTTAACCACTGGTTCAGATTCTGTCAGAGTCTGACCATCAACACCTGTTAAACCAAGAAAGATATTCATGTCATGTGTTACATTGGCAGCACAAATGAAAATATGTCAAATCAAGATCATTGAAGATGTTCACCTGCCCAGCAGATAGTTAACAGCAGCAGTCCTGTCCTATAGTCCATCATGTTAAACTGTGTGTCCACTGTTCTCTGTCATCCTCTCTGCAGTCAGATAAGTAGAGGTGGAAGACATCTGAGTTTTGCATTAACTCCTCCTCACAGTGTGGAACTGGATTTGACTTGGATCTCAGTTGATGTTTGGTGAAACTGCAGAATAAATGTTTACTGTACATTAGTCATTCCTCCAAGAGTCCCTCTTGCATGTTTCAGTATAATTTGTGCAACATGTTGACAAACACATTATTTAAGTTGGTTGACCCTTATTAAAGACCACATTATAGACCACAGTCTGCATCATGGGAAGACCTCGACAATAGTTTATCAATATTACCATACACCTAAAGTGAGTATTTTTTAACATTTTACATTTTAATGTAAATGAATGTCAAATAACACCCTAACAAATGTTGTTCATTATGTTACAATGTTGAATTTCTCACAAGAAAATCTCTTTCAAATTTCATATATCATACTATTTTCAAGACTTAAGGGACCAAAAACCCAAGTAGCAATAACAGTGAAGAATACATTTGAGAATATTAATTAAGCATTGAAAAGGAATAACATGTAACTCTTCAATACGTGTTTGACATTAATAACCATGTTTTTCAGTCAATGCAAATAAATGATTTACATTTCTGAGGCAGACAGAGAAAAAAATGTTTTCTAAAATGCCTCCATGTGTTTTTGATATCATTAATATTCTATATTATTTTCTTAATTCTTATCATGTCTGTTTCTCTCTTCACTGTAACAGTGAACTGGTGTTGAAATCATTAGTGGTCTGAGGGCTCCTCCTCTGGTGGCTTCATGTTACAAGTGTTCAGGCACTGAGGGGTTTTTGTTCAGGTCTACTGATGGTTTGTGTTATTGTGTCTCTCTGGCACAGTAATACACAGCAGAGTCTTCAGGCTGCACATTCTGTCCGTTTAGAGTCACTGTGTTACTGGAAGAGTCTATGGTGATACTGAACTTGTTCTTCAGTGAATCTTTGTAATATGTGGTGGATCTAGCTCTGCTTCCAATCCACTCCAGTCCTTTCCCTGCAGGCTGTCTGATCCAAGCTGTGTAGTAGCTGCTAACAGAATAAGAGACCTGACAGGTGATGGTCAGACGTTGACCTGGCTGCACAGTCACAGAGGCTGGCTGTGTCAACTGTTCACACTTCACAGTTTTTATAGCTGAGTAACAAGGAAGGTCACTGAGTTTGCATAGAATCAAACATATGAAGCATCAATGTTGGTCTAACTGGAGCCAATAGAAGAGTCTGTTGACTGTTATTATATCTGCAGAGTAAAAACATGCCTGAAACCACCTCTGCTTTACATATGATATTTTAACTTCATTACACACTCAACTGTAACATTTTGAAAATTTCCTCTGCATTTACAGAACTGAAACAACTTTAACTTTGCTCT